AGACAAACCAATATGTCTTATAAATGTATATATGCCATCAGATAACAAAAATGCAGATATCGAATACAAAGACACTTTGGCTCAAATTGATGAAATGATAGAGAAATATAAAGATACACACGAAATTATAGTATGTGGAGACATGAACGGGTCACTCCATAGAAGCTCTACACCTCATGATAAAATTCTAAAACTTTCTGCAAGGAAAAATGTATAGGAAATACTGAGAAATGCCCATTAAAAGAAACATTTTATCACCAGAATGGTAAATCGAAAGGACAAATTGATTACTTCCTCTTCAAAAGTAACTCGGAAATAATAAATAAAATCAGACAAATTGATGTCCTTGACACTGACCCAGAGAATACCTCGGACCATGTACCTGTTATTCTGACACTGAATAGCCAACTGAAAAAAGTAAGGGAAAAAGCAACAACTATCATAGCAAAACCTAAATGGACTGACTGTGACCATCAAATTTATAAGGAAATCATCAATAAAGATCTACCAAACCTCATGCAAAAATCAAAAGGAATCATTGAGCAAGATATAAGAAATCTAGAAAAATTGCTACATAAAGCCGGAGAAGCGGCAATCCCAAAGTATAGAAGAAAAATCAAAATCAAATCAAAGGGAAAGGCGATATGGAATGAACAAATAGAAAAGGCATCAAAGCAATCAAAAAATGCATATATAGTATGGAGGCAACATGGAGCACCTCAAGAAAGAAGTAACGAGCTCAAAATCAAAATGACAGCTGCAAAAAGAATACTTCGAAAAGCACAAAGACAAGCTTATGCCTCTCAGAGAGAATCAACAGCGGGAAAAATTATGAAAGCTTCAAATGCAGACACAAAACTTTTTTACAAGCTTATTAACATGCAAAGAAAAACACCACTTACTAACACCAAGATACTGAAACTGAATGAAAAGACTGCAGAAGATGGACCAAGCATAATGAACATTTGGCAAGAACATTTCCAACAACTAGTTACGCCAACATTAGAAGAAAATTTTGACACTGAAAAGCTAGAGCTTGTAGAAATACAAAACAATATAATAGAATCCATAGAAAGGGAAAAAGGTCAAGGCATTGATCATGTCAATGTAAAGGAGGTTGATAAAGCTATAGAAAAACTTAAAGCAGGAAAAGCACCAGATGAGGATGGAATTTCGGCAGAACACTACAAATATGGGATGGATGAGTTAACTCCCTTTATAGTACATTTGCTAAATTTAATTTTAACATATCTGGATGTACCAATCTTCCTAAAGACAGGGATTCTTACACCAATCCTAAAGAAAGAAAAAGACAAAACATTACCATCTAGCTATAGAGGAATAACTGTGACTAAAACCTTTGCAAAAATATTACAAAGTATACTGAAGGATAGAGTTGACTCTGTATTTAATAACATACAAAACTCCTTGCAAAGAGGCTTTACAGAAGGAGTATCATCACTATGCGCAGCTTTCCTCACATCAGAAGCAATCGAAGAAAGTAAGAAATTAAAGATACTGATGATTTTAATAACTCTTGATGCAGAAAAAGCATTTGACACACTAAACCATGAAATACTATTCAACAAGTTGTACCATTATGGAATAAAAGGAAAACTCTGGATACTACTGAGAAACATGTATAAAGGCATGAGCATTAAGGTCAAATGGGAAGGTCAATGTACAGAAGATGTAATGGTGTTACAAGGAATTCAACAAGGTGCAAAACTATCTACAACGCTATATAAATGCTACAACAACGTCATACTGGATAGCATTTTAAAAAGTGGACTTGGAGCATGTATTGGTAATATACAAGTCCCTGCACCCACATGTGCCGATGACATTGCTGTCCTGGCAAATATTAGTAGTACTGCAGACGCACAAGGAATATTAGACATAGTACAGCACCATACAAGCAGAGATCTAGTTAAAATCAATCCAACTAAATCTGAAGCGGTTTTATATAATGCAAAAGGCTCAAACATAACAACACTGCAATTCGAAGACGATGACATCAATATAACCAATGAAACCAAACATCTAGGTATCAAAAGAAACGAGCAAAACCGGGCAAATATCTCCGAAAGAATAAGAACCGACAGGGCAACAATATACAGCCTTCTCGGAGCCGGTTTACATGTCAGAAGGGGATTCTCACCCATGGTCGCATACAAGCTATGGAGAACATATGCAGTACCAAGAAGCATTTACGGACTTGAGGTGATGAACTTACTTGCAAAAGAAAAGGATATGCTAGAACTGGCAGAGAGAAAAATCCTCCGACAAATTCAAGGGCTTCCAAATAATACAGCAAATATGGCTGTCTATACCCTGGTAGGAGCAGAACCTATTGCCACCACATTAGACAAAAATCTACTTACCTTCTTCATGAATATTGTTCGAAATTCAGGAACCATAGAATGTGAAATTCTGCGTCGACAAATAGCATTCTCAGACCAAAGAGGAAAAGACTTTATCAACAGAGTGGAAAAAACTCTATCAAAATACAATTTGAAATCTAGTAGTTACTACATAGAAAAACCACTTAAGAAAATCGAATGGAAAAGACTAGTAGGAATAAAGATCAAGGAATACTGGAAAAATGAATGTCACTATGAAAAAATGGAAAAAACATCACTTAAATACATAGAAATACAGAACAATCCATTAAATGAAGCACACAATATATGGAAAAGCGTAAAAAACAATAGTAAAGATGTAAAGGCAGGAGAAATAAAAGCAAGAATAAGTACTCAAACGTACATATTACAAGCCAAAAGAGCTAAGTTCGATCCGAAAGTTAACCCGATATGTACAATCTGTGAACAGGAAAATGAAGATCTGGAACATTTTATTCTACGCTGCAAAGAATTGGAGCAAATAAGATCTAAATATTGTTCAAAAATAGAACAGACAATGGATGAAATCGATACCTCAACATACAAGAAGATCATACAAGAAGGGAATTTACTGCAGCTCATAATGGACTGTACCAGCAAGGACATAAACTGTTACTCAACTGTGTATGAAAACATTGAAACTCTGGCTAGAAATATGTGCTACGAGATGCACATGCTGCGCACAAAAAGGATTAAAAACTTGAATACAAGTACAGTATAAGTAAACTTTTTTAAAATAAAATAGTTCCCTACTTTACCATCTTACTATTTTATGACGTATTAGGACCTAAATTAAATAAAAAAAAAAATTTTGCAAAGTTTTAAGATTTCCAGTTACCTTTAAAGAATAATGATAAGATCCGAAATAAGGTAACTTTAAACTGTGAAGGTAAACTTATGTATATATGATGAATTGTTCTAAACCCCAACCCTTTTACATAAGTCCTATAAAATAACCTTCTCATTATAAATTCTGATGTACGTATAGCACCTTTAACTAACAATTATAAGAAAGTTTAATTTAAGACCACTTAAATTCTAAATTCTTATTTGTAAATATATCCAGTTCTTACTTAACTTATTCTTACACTTCAGCACATTATGAATATTATTTTTAAAATTTTATGATGACAATCCTATGAATTAGTTATAATATTAATTTTTAGTAATTATTATTGCCTAAATTCAGTCATCTGTACATAATTAAATGCTTCCTTATGTTCTAAGGTGTATATAGTTGCTACAATTATACCCTATGGGTAGTGCTCCACAATTAATGGAGGAATATACAAGAAACTGAACTAACATGCACAAAAAAAAGATGAAACCAAAAGTAATTTTGTGAGGGGTTCAAAATCAAAATACAGTAAACAAGAAACAGTCAAGACACACATATATCTGCAAGCCGTTTTTTTTTTCAAACAAAGAAATTCTAAAACAAGTGGTAGACTAGTAAAGTTCCAATTTATAGAGACATAAATTCGTCTGTGCCGCCCAAAAAAAAAAAAACAGACATATATGTATATTACATAATATATTTTTTATCTCTGCAACTAAGTTTTACAATGGCATTCATTCTGAGTATGTTTCGACATTTAGATACGGTACAGTCCCTCCATTTTTCACGGTAGTCAGTCCGTGTAGGTATCGGTGTCCGTGTTAATGTCTGTGTAGACGGCTTTTCGAAAATGTTTATTACTGATATTTTAATCAGACTAAAATGTTATCAACTGTTAATGAACGATTGTTTTAAATATTAGGATCCGTGAATTCCTAACATGTATACAATTTAGCTTGAAACAAATTAAATAATCATTAAAACTTATTTTTGTTTGTTAAGAAAATAAAGTTACTTGTGTGTGAAATAATTTTTTAAAAAGCTTACTGATGATCGTTGGATGCCAATTTTTGAAAGTGTGATACTGTCACTAGTAACCAATCAGCTTTTGTATTGTACCAAGTTTGACGTGCGGTGATGCTTAGTGTAAATGACATTGTCAAAGTTTAATGAGTTATTTTGTGTTAGAACACAAAAAGACTATACTTTACTATACTAAAGTGACTGTACGTCATTCTGTAAATATAAAATTGATTTCCAAAAAGTGCTTTGTAACCGGTGAAATAAAAGTTAGGATTAAAAAATTTTTTTTTTCTAGACCGGCAGCTGTTCACCTCGTGTTTATCATTTATTGGCAATATATATGATAACTCTAGATTTGTTTTACTGCTATATTTGCCTCCATTATTGCTGTTTATGTTTTCTTGTGAATTTGTTAGCAATGTTTAATGTTCCTGTGTGGAACATACCAAACATCAAAGTGTCCCAATTGGAAGAGCGCTCATTTTTCGTTACAAGTTTGTCCACTGAACAATCAAAACAACGGTAATCATCAGCTGTTTTGTAAAGCAAATGTCGGAAATCAACAGATGATTGGAATTCCGTATCAAGTATAAGCAAACGGAAGAGTAAAAATAAGAAATTGAAATTGACTTGTGTTTCCGAATGAAAAATATATAATGTTGATCGAATTAATGCTAATCCTGTAATCGATTAGTCAGTAATCGTGTTTTAAAAAACCCAATAAAATACAGATTTCATTCAGATCAAACAGTGACATGTACAGATATCTATGTTGGATTTTGACTATCCTATCTGCAAAACATTATGCTTTTTCAATACCTACAGGTAAGAAACATTTATTTTCTCAGTATTCAATTGCATTGCTTATTGAAAATAGAATAAAAACCCAAGAGAACATAGGCAGATTATGACAATATGTTTTTGATTACAGTTTTTTGATAGCGATATCTTCAGCAGACCGGCTTAAGATCGAATAAATGATACAAGATATTCTATGATAAACTGTCCTTATAATTATTTTAAAAATCTGCAGCGTTCGTAGCTATTAGCCAACATTTAAATTTTTCCCTTAAAGGGGCATTAGCTACGATTTAAAAAAAATAAAAATACGAATCTTTCAAGTTGTTTCAAGTATTAATAAAAGAACAGAGTTCCAGTGTCCCCCGCGCTGCAAATGTTGTATCTGTCCAAGGTACAAGGGCAATAATTAAAAAAGCACCTTGTTTTGTTCTATAAGACTTTTTATTAATATCTTAGAGAAATGAAGGCTTTAGAGCAAATGCAATGTGATTTCCATTATAATTAATATTTCCAAGGGGCATAACTCGTCAAAAAATATTTGATCAGAACTTATTTTAGAAACTGTCAAAACATTGCTGATATAGACCTATAATATAAGTGTCATCAAATTCTGGCAAGAATTGAACTTATGAGAGCGCTAACAATGCAATTTCCGTATATTCAATATTTCCAAGGGGCATAACACTTTTAAAAATTATTGATCGGTACTGATTTTCGAACTCGTCAAAGACATTGATGATATGAACCTATAATATAAATTTCATAAAAAAGTCTGGCAAGAATTGTACATACTAGAGCGCTCATAAGGCAATTTTCCATATAATTAATATTTCAAAGGGACTTAACTATTTTAAAAAATTTTGATCGGCACTGATTTTCGAACTCGTCAAATACATTGCTGATATAAACCTATGATTTAAGTTTCCGAAAATTCTGGCAAGAATTGTACACATGAGAGCGCTAACAAGGCAATTTTCAATATTATTAATATCTCCAAGGGGCATAACTCTTTTAAGGTAACACGATACCGAATGACGTTACGCCACGAGTTATCGTTCCTGACGTTATCGAATAACGTTCACACATACAAGCCAATGCAGCAGGTTCTGCAATCACAAAGTGATTAAATAATAAAAAAAATATTTTTGGTAATTCATTATGTGACATTTTTAACGGTAACTTTCCCTAGATGTAGAGTGCTGAGAGTTTTGATGCAATACGTAACGGTTAACTTATTTGACATAGATTGCTTTATCGTTTTCCGGCAATTCTTCTGCTCATTGTTAACCTTTAAAAATGTATTACTTTACTTTAAATATTGTGTTTCTTTAATATTTAAGCATCTGCACGATTTATCTTATATATGTTTTTATGCATAACAGACTGAGTTTTAACACTTTATTTTATTCTTGGTTTATTTTTGCAATAAATACTTATTCATGATGCGCGCCGTATCGGCATGAAATTTTGTTTTGAAAGTCGAAATCTAATCTATAGACACTTGGGATGATGTGTGAAAAAACAACTATTAATTCATGTTAAAATGGTCGTCAAAAACACCGCTCGGGCAAAATGGAACAAGGAAATTTATCGGAATGAGAATACGGATAGAATTAGGCGAAAAAGCACAATATAAGCAGACTTTGATACTCATACAGAAAATAGTTTGTTAGTATGGAATGTAAAAAACGTGGTTTAACTTGCTTATTTTGCCGAATAACTTTCCCTATGTTCCAAGTGTAAACAGTCTCTGAAAATCATTGGTTTATACAGAGTAAATCCGATATAGTTTCGGAAACATTTTAAAAATAAAGTGCTAGCTTTGTAACCCTATAGACCAAGTCTACACAGGGCAGACAGCAACATCGGAATGAGGCCTGAGAAAGTTAACGTAGGCTGAGAAATACATGGGAACTTGATTCGGCAAAAATAAAATAAAAAAAATTCAGGTCCCGTTACAGTCTGATTAAAGCCAGCTCCAAGTATCCACTTGCGTCTATAAACGCAAGTTGATAGTTCGGGCTGGCTCTAGTCAGACTGGTTCAGTTACAATTTTTTTCTCTCGAAATTTACAAGCAAACGACTGACTAATTATTTTTCAAACGGCAGAAAGAGACTGAAATAGCTTGATCTTGAAATCATTTAGATTTTATATTCGTGTTAATTTACGCTTGCATGGGTATTCGGTGGAAGTGTGGTATTTTTGGGGTGATTTGAGTTGGAAATAATTTACATTTACAAGTTCGGAGACAAAACGACTGAAAGGGAATAAACATAGTTGCCTTTTGAGGTTTGTTATTTTATTTTTTAGAATGTGTATTTTATCAGGATCATTATTTTCCCTCATAATTTTCACAACTAACAGAATGTTTAACCTTTTTTGACTGGTGCATCAAATTTGTCTTTTATAAACAACTGTTTTCCAAATTGTATTGTATCGTCCCGAACATGCATGAACTATTTGCCACTGAACGTTAAACAACCATCAAAAACCAAGCAATTATAAATCTGTTAACTGAATCAAATTTTTAAAGTACTCTATTTCTGCATGGATGCAGCGATGACACCACCATTGTCTTAAATGATGGAGTTAAAAACTCAGTAATTCAAATGAACCACACGTGAAATTTTTCATGTTATTTTCACGTGAACTTTACAAACATTTGGAGGTATTTTTCATGATTTTAATTAAATTTAGAATAAAGATATTATTTGAATAATCTTATTATAAAAATTTACGTGAATTCAACGTGTACCAAATTCCGTTGATTTATGCATGAACTATTATCATAAGATTTACGTGGAACCAACCAGTTCAAGCAAGTTTCAAGTATATGCTCGTTTGGTGTGAAATTCAGACGAGATTAATGTTAATTCATGTGAGTGAAATTTCCATGTGCAGGACGAAATAAATTTATATCAGTAGAATTTCATATTGCATAACTAGGAAATTTACGAAACCCGACAGGGGAAATGAAAATAAAAAAACAACATTCAGATCCTGACACATATTTTGTTTTCCATATCTCTGAGTAGGAATAACGTTATATTCTGTATTCAATAACGTCATACGTTTTCGGTCAAATTCTAGGCATATCGATCAACTTTGAAGCCATTTATCTCAAAAACAAGGATGGTGACATATGAGTTTTTTTACGTGTATGGATTCAGTATGCAATCCTGGATATTATGTTAGTTTTTTGTTTTTCTCCGTATATAAGAACATATCCATCCATTAGAAAATCTAAAAAGGAAAGCCGAAAAAAAGCCATTTCTCCTATATACCTATGTAAATTTGTCGCCAAAATTGACGTATTCCTATCAAAATACCAAGAAATCAAAAATGGTGACCCCCATTTTTTATTACATATTCCGATGTAATTCGATTCAAAGAACACGTGTGTCAAAAAGTTTGGAAATTGGGAGATATGCCATTCGGTATCGTGTTACCTTAAAAATAATTGATCGGCACTTATTTTCGAACTCATCCGAAACATTGCTAATATGAACCTATGATACAAGTTTCATAAAAATCTGGCAAGAATTGAACAAATGAAAGCGCTAACGATGCAATTTTCCATATAATTAAGGTTTCCAAGGGGCATAATTCTTTGAAAATGATTCATCAGTACCGATTTTCAAACTTGTCCAAGACATTGATAGTATAAACCTATGATATAAGTTTCATAAAAATTTGGCAAGAATCGAACAAATGAGAGCTTCAACGATGCAATTTTCCATACAATTAAGATTTCCAAGGGGCATAACTCTTTTAAAAATGATTGATCAGGACTAATGTTCAAACTTGTCTAAGATATTGCTAATATAAACCAATGATATAAGTTCGTAAAAATCTGGCAAGAATTGTACACGTGAGAGCGCTAACAAGACCAGACGGACGGACGGACGGACGGACGCCCGATATTTCTATGCCCCCCACGGCGCGTTTCGCGGGTGACAATAAAAGCGGAATTTTAATATAATATTTCGTTTTAAGTAGTTGGTTAAGCCAAAATCTGTCAAAATAAGCTCAAAAACATCGCTGATGTATCATTGACTTGCAAGTGAATAATACCAGCTCATGTGAATCCGTATTCATGTGAACTTCATTTAACCCTTATCTGGAGATGGGTTACGCATGTACTATGCGTGTTCAGCTATCAAAAGGAAAAGAATGTCAACATTGAAAGTGAAACAAGGGTGAACCATTTCGTTGACTGATTCGATTCACAAAAATCATTCTTGTACAGGTAAAAACGTTGATTAACTTATTTTTTTAACCTATAACATGAAATCAAAATGACCAAGAAATATCAAATTGCACGTGTTCGCTATCTATTTCATTTCTATTTATGTTTATATCGGGTTATATGACCGTCGGCAGTCTTCGGGGGTCATCTCGATATAGTTAATTAGATGGCATCTAAACTTAAATACACATGAATATCTTATCGAGTCTATGCATTGTTAATTCTTTATTTTAGACTTTAGACGTTTTAGTATGTAATAAATCAAATATGAGAATTTGAGTTAAGTCGGTGAAGATGAATTTGACACCTAATGCCCCTTTAAGACAGGATTATTTCACACAAATCGATGATGTCTAAAGCTTTTTAGCGTGTGTTATACTAAAATCTTACTTTATTTATATATTAAAACTGGCTTAAATACATCCCTAACAAAAAAGACACAAAGTACCGATCTGAGAGTACTCGCAGTAATTGATAGCTAGTTCAAAGCCAATAACAACTAATACAAAAAAAAAATCATGTATCTAAGACTAAAATATCAATCAGTACACATCCAACATGGTTTTAGTGTAAAGACGTCATTAACAGTCAGAGAAAAACATGACCTTGTGTAATGCCAAAATATAGGTATCGACAAATTGTAGTACCGTGAAAGTGCAAATGTGTATAACAATAATATTTAGTACGGTTTCAATTTACTGATAACAAAATCAATATTTATACCAATTAAAACAATATTCAAAGAGCTAATTACAGTGTTGAATTGCAGTAACC